GATGAAACGATTAGCTTTCTGTAAGGCCACTCTCCAAATGCGACGATCGAAACGTTTCCTTTTTCGCGGCTTTAAGAGATCACTACCTTTAAAATTGATAACAGCAACAACAGGTGTGCGAAAGTATGCACGATGCGCACGCGATCTCGGAAGTTGGGCGTTAAATCACGGCCGATCGGCACGAACAAATGTGTCAATTTTGTCAAATATACAAACCATAAAGCACAAACTCACTGCGGGCCCTAAATATACTATATGTAATTCAAAAGACAGCTTAGTCTACGTGTAAAATATATTGATGTCATGTATATATACAAGGTGTTTCAGAGCCAGCCGGAGATGAATTTCGTGAGAGCGTAGAACGGATTGAAGTGAACGAAAACGGTCTTCTATCATTTTGCAAACACACAAAATTTCGAATTATCAACGATCGAAAATCATATATAGAAGCTTTTTTGATTAATAACTCAAAATTTTACGTGTTGTTTACAAAATAGTACAGGACATTTTTGTTCACCTCAATCCGTTCTACGCCATCATAAAGTTTGTTCCCGTGGCTCTGAGACACCCTGTGTTTGTGTACATATATATATATAATTACCAGGATGACTGGTGTCATATTTCACTATCTTGCTTAAGGCTGGGTTTACATTTGACATTTATAATACAGAAAAAGTCGGACTGAACGGTTCGACGAATATGAATTAAGATGCCAAAGTACTAACATGCAATGTTAAATTTCAACCGTGACTATCTACGAATGTATACGAGTACAAATATACGCACGGAAGAAAAAGAAATCGCATGTTTGCACACGTGAGACGACTTTAAACGCGCGCGAGAAAGAGAGAGAGGCATCGCGTTGACAAAAAGTGACAAATGTAAACCTATCCTGATGTTGAATCGGATAAACAGGAGAGGCCATCATAACACACTTGCATGGTGGCAAAATTAAAGATTAGAATTATATTAGATGACGAATTCAAATATATAAGAAGTCGAATATATACTGCGAAAAACCATTGAGCAAGTTCATGCTGACAAGTTCGCGAGAGCATTTCCCGTTACACAATAAATACCATTTCCTTATTGGGTTAACAACGAGCAGGAAGAACGTAATTATTGTTGCTGTTTTGTTATCATTGTATTGTTTTCCGGCAAAGTTGCTTACGGTGTAAGCTCGCAATCTGTGTGTATGTTCTTGCGCAAGAGTTCTTGGCAGCACCTGATGCAATTACTCAGGAATCGGGAATATAATAATGTATAATAATAAAGAGTGCTAATAAAAATAGAAAGATAATATAATAATTAATAGAATATAATATAATAAAGAAATTTACACACCACTGTCGGACAAACTGCTGTAACATGGGGGCGACGTCGTGGGGACACACATAACCGAGTCGACCGATCGTAATGGCTACGGTTCATTTTCGTTTTCGGTAAGTAGACAAGTGAAGTGTAGTGAAGTGACCGGAAACACAAACAATAAGACAAACTGATAGCGAACCAACGGTCGAACTCAGGCGAATATATATGCTCCGCTCCGTATAAAAACTTCCGTCAATAATTAACTTTCAATTATATATAATTAATCACTCAATCGGAATTCAAGTAACATTAACAATTAATCGAAGAACAGTGAGAACACAGGTGGAGAAACATATGAAATACCGACAATGAAACATAGGCAATACCGTGCTATTGTAGCTGCTGAAACAATAATCGAAATTAGATAGCAGCGTGCGAGCCCATGTGATTTCTATTAAGAGCCGGTTACCACAAATGATCTCTCTACTTTCATGTATATAGACACACACACACACACACACATATATATATATATATATATATATGTGTATGTAAGAAATGTCAGTATACAAATAACGTAATAATAAAAAGGAACAAAATTTGCAATTATGATCTTCATATAGCGGCCAATTCAAACAATCCAATCGAAACGATGTCTTGGGTTTAGAAAAATGCAGGCATAGTATGTATATATATATATATATATATNTACTGCATAGCGATGCGTCTTTACATGGCAATACAGACAGTATATGTATGTATGTATGTATGTGTATACACACACACACACACACATATATACATATTTAAGCCTACTGGTAGTCGCACACCACTAAATTAAAGTTCAATATACAAATACTAATTTATTTATAAACCTGTCGATAAACGTGCAATCGCAACAACGTATAAATCACGTCGCAACAAGTCACCGAACTGTGTATTTCGTTGTTTATGTTGAAAAAAATTACTCGGGAACAAAAAACGAAAGAAAAGTATGTATCTAATTATGTATGCACCTAAAGAACTGTACGCCAGCGAATGCTCAATCTACCGTGAGATACTCTAAATTACACACTGAAAAGACTTGCGTCCGAATAACGGTGTTATCATAGATACTTTAAGAAAGACAAGTATCTACGTATTATAAAAATCACGTACACAAAACGACTGTATATACAAGTCGGTAACTTTTAGCGGCAAACTCTCTCGAAGCATGAGATCTGCAAATCAAATCCCGTATCCCGATGGAGAGCACACAGAGTCGTGACAGACACCGAGCGTTCTCATCACGCGCAAACGGTAGCGATATACATAGGAATCGACAGATTCTTATTGGTCGTATCGAGTCTCACTATACATTGTCCTCTATTCGTTTTCAAGAGTATATGCTCTGTATATATTACATGCGGTATATATGTATATATGTATATACATGTATATATATATATATATGTATATATATATATATATATATCACTTTGAGGAAAGTTGGATTAACGACTCACCGGTATTTTCTAACAGTGTTTTTGGTGTATCTTGTCGATTGATTATATCGATAAGCTGTGACAAAATTAACGGAATATACGCGCTTGTGTCCGGCCCTGCGGAAAAGACAAGAAAACAAAATGAGAATAAGACTTGTTTTTTTCCTTGTCCAGAAAGGGGGAGGGAACATCACTTGCAAAACTTACCAAGTTTTATCGATATTTCACCGATCGCCCACGTCGCGTTATTACATACTGATATAAACTGTGGGTGCAAATTTTGTCCGAGAATGGGCATAAATTCCGCTGGAAATACATGGAAAAAAACGTAGAAATTGGATTAGCGTTATACGTAGACGCGATGCATGAAATTGCGCGATCGAGCGTACTCACGTATACAGGGCAGCACGTGTTGGAAACAGGCTTTCGTGAGATCGCCCAGCAAGGCGAAGCTGCTCTGTCGTACCTCCGGCATGGTGTCCTGCATGCACTGATACAGCAACTGCATAACGTTACTGTTCACCACTAGGCGTTCCATGTGGCCGTCCAGGCCCTCCGCCAATCCGCTGAGAAGGTCCAACGCCACTATCATGAAATCCTTGTCGGGTGCCTCGAACTGCTCCGGGCTCTGTGTGCTCGCTATATGCTGATTCAACGTCTGTTCTACGAGAGACACGCATCGCCTACAAGACGGAATGGAATCGAGTAAATACATTGCGTGGCGATTTTTCTTTCTCTCACTTTTTTCTATACTCGTGAAAGGAATTGACGAGCTAGTCTCGTTGGATGTTCGCAAAAAGGGACGTTACAACGTATGTTCACTGATGAACAAAGCGTAACTGAAAATATTTATACCTATAAACGGGCTCGCAATACGGTAAGAAACCCGAACGCAACGCGGTAGCTACCGAAGAAAGACATTCGAGCAACGGGAATAGATCTTTGTCCTCGTCTTTCAGCACGTTCCATTTGTTAATGAGAGGCGGCATCAGGAGATTGATGTAGTCCGGTTTGTTGAGATGATGACCAACGGAATCGGCGAGCGTGCCGATCGCGTCGTACAGTATCAAAAGGTTCTTATGCTGATATTTACCTGGGAATCAAGTAAAAATGACGTTTCTCGTTGATTCGTTCGTGTCTCATTGCACTCACCGAAAGCGAAAACGAGCGTCTGAAGAATAAATCCGAGGTAAGGGACTAATTCCGTGCAAGCCTCCTCTTCCAGGGTGGCGAAGGCGGAACATGCTGCTTCCTGGACACGCTTATTGCTGTCGAGGACCCGTTTGAGCAATTCGGTCATCAAAGGCTTCAGATGCGTCTCGTGCGGCTGCGCGCACACCCAATGCGCGTAACGACTCAGCGTCCAACAAGTTATGGCACGCACCAGAGCCTTCTTGTCGCTGAGGCAATTGATCAAGTAAGGGATCAGCTCGGACAAATGCGGGATCATACCGCTCATACAACCTGCAAAACAATCCTGCACGATCACTTTGTCTGCTCTACTTTCAAGCTAGATTATAATATATTACGGGACTGAATGAAATTTCGAGGTAGATAGAAACGCGAGCGGAGACGCATAAATCACTTCTTCCAGACAGAACAAAGCGATTGCTTCTTCGGCTTAGTTACGTTAAGACAATTGAACATGTGAATACCTTCAGCAATCGCTCCTAATGCCAAGATGCCGGACTCCTTGATCTCCCAGGAGTGATGGAAGAGAGTTTCTTTCAGGATCGGCACCAGAACCGGCAGCAAATCCTCGCGAAAAACGTTCGCCAGCATATCGAGTGCGGCGGCGGAACATTTTCTCAAATTCCAATCGCTGAGAGTCGAATCATCATCTTCGACATCGATCACCTCGTCGTCACAGCCGCCGTTCTCGTCGATGTGTTTGTTCATATTGGTGTGATGCGAATGATGTGTCTTTGATTTATGAAATCTTGGTCGAATATCCTCCTCCCTATCCGGTATCATTTCGTCCTCCTCAACGTCCCCTTTCAAAAGTATTATGTCTATTTCCGAGTACTTCATACCTCTCACCTGCGCGAGACGGAGAGGCGACGAATCAACGAAGATGCAAAAAGTGTGAGGAGGATGATTTTCTTGTTGCGCTAAATTGTTCTCACGACGAACCACCACTGAATACCAGGAAGGAGCGTAAAAAGAAAATCCTTCGTATTCAAATTATAGAAGAATAATCGATTGGTCAATTTCTTACACTTACTACACCTATTGTAGACTCGGCCTTAGAAAATTGGCCAATCATAGTTAATTATTCTCTTCACATTCGACTGTAATTTTTTAAGGTTTAAAGCATCCATTGTAGATCAACCAATCTCGATTGATATATCGCGCTCCTTCCTGGTATTCTTTATTTAATGCGAAGGAGGACTCACCAAAACAGGTACTAATCGTGTCAGATGCGGTGCAAGAGCTTCTTTGCAGATTTGTTGCTCCGCCAGCGACAACCAAAACTCGCAGGCCTCTAATGCAACCCCCTCGTCGGCGTCCTGAGTCCTCATTAACATGTACTCTATTATACAGTGCATATTTGGTATTAGTCTGTCAATTCGTACTTCCAGCAACATCACCAATGCCCTGTGGCAAGCATACAGAAGGAATTATCATCTGAGGATATGATTTTGATAAAATAAAGAACTACATGAGTCATTAAGTTGATAAAGCGTAGAACGTAGTAAGAAACACAAGATTGTCTACACGCGGTCGGATACCTGCACACATTCTTTCTGACTTCCGAGTCGTCGTCCGAGGCTAAGTGGAAGAGGTTCTCCAAGAAGCTGTCTATATGTATCATAAGCGCCTGCGTGCGTTGAATGATGAACTGATTGACGCACGCTATCGCGTGGGAGCGGATCTTCGGGCTCGAGTGCCTAAAGAAGTGGAGAAATTTCGGAATCAAGATGTTCAAGGGACGATTCAGAGCGTCAGAGTCTAATATCTCGGTCGAGTCCTCGCATATCTTCTGCAGAGCGCCGAACGCCCCCTCGCACACATTGTAATCCTCCGAATCCAGCATCTGACACAACGCCGGCAACAATTCCGGCCAGGTAGTCAGTTCACCTGCTCACGAAACATCGTAGGTAAATCTCCATCATATCGAGGCGTGCGATACACCTCTTAAGCGATGTCTACAACAGGTGTAGCCGTAAGAAATCAGTCGAGCGTGAGAAAAACCGATCGATCGGCTTCTTATGGCTTACTGTGCCTATTGTAAACATACCCTTAAAGCGGGCTCCACAATGAGAATTTAAAAAATTGACCAATTACAGCCGAATCATAGGAGAACGATCAATTACGATTGGTCAATTTTTTAAATCTTACACCTTGAATCCTCATTGTAGACTCTACTTAAGGTACATGCTATCGCATAACACACCTTTTGATGCAACAGTGGTGATCAAAATACCGACAGTCGCACGGATCAACGGCGACGGGTCTCCTACGGCCAGTAGACATTCTTGCTTTATGAAAGTTATGACCTCCGGTACAAATTTATGAAAATGAGACTTCACATTATTTTTCAGTATCAGTCCGCTTAAAGACCTGGTGGGTTCATCTTGACAAAAACGAAGTTCACGTTAGTTTATGCGTAAATTTCACAATCATATGCACGAGTGTATGTGTGTGTCACGCGTTATGTGCGTACATAAAATAAATATTCAAGAGATAATTGGAAACACACGTACGCAATTAAATTCAACCAACGTACCTTCCGATGTGAGCTTCGTCAGAACGAAAATCAGGTAATTGTTGAAATCCGGAAACTTATTCAGCTCCTCCAGTTTCTATGTCGCAAATTGTTAAGGAAAATAAATGGCGGACGCAGCCGACGATTGTCACGGCACACGAGCGTGTTTGAAGACTTCCCCCCCCCTCCACATGGGCTACAAATTTTCTTTCCCCACAGAAAACACGGACTAACTCTACCTCCGAAACCGCCTTAACCGTTGAATCCCATCTCCTCGACTCCTCGTGCGCGCGCTCGGCCGCCGCAAATGCCCGGGCCCGGCGCGGAAAAGTCCCGCAAAAGCTATCGATCAGAGAGGGCCGCGCTGGGAAAAACAAGCCTCGCACGCGCGCGAGAGAGAAAAGAAAGAGAGGGAGAGAGAGAGAACATGAAATCGCGGCACGAAATGACGGCGTTGACGGTCGGGCGCGCATAGAACATCTTTTACCATATTTCCTCGTCGCGTTCTCGACTCCTGGAGCAACCTCGATCGTGCGGCATCCCGATCGGCGACGAGAGTCGCCGTGACAGGATGCGAGAGACCAAGTCGCCGCTTATCGTCCCCTCGATTTCCCGACGGGCGATCACGAGAGAGAATTCGCGCATAATGAACCTCCTGATTAGCAGTTCGCGCTAGAAGAAGACGAAAGAACGGCACGAATCAAAATATCACGGCGTCCCTTTTACTCACGCGGGGGGAGAGGGTAGGGGGCCACGTAAGTGCGAGCAACGGTGACTGCTACGACGACGTGATGATGATGACGACGACGAGAAGCACGACGACAGGCGGGAGCATTTTCTCTCTCTCTCTCTCTCTCTCTTTTTCTCGCGGGGAAACGAAGAGCGCGTACGAAGAGGAAGGAAGGAAAGGAAGAGAAAAAAAAAGGATACCAACTGCACCGCCCGCTGGGTCGCCGTGTCCGGGCTCTGCGACTCCTTCAGCAGCGTGAGGATCTGTCTGAGTCCTTCCTCCTGCGGTTGCCACGCCATTTTCATCGTGTGTTTTTCACAAGCAGCACCAGCACCACCACCGACGACGAACGGAACGCTCTCTCGCTCGCTCGCGCCAGCGACCAGCCTTCTCCGACCTCTCCGGATAAACGGAAGCTCCCCACGGACCCCCCCCCCCCCCCTCCAGCCAGCACGTCCTTACCAATCTACACCGCCGTGTCTCCCCCCCCTCCTACCAGGCGCTCGGCTTCGCTCGTGCGCTTCCTGTGCGACCAGCAGCGGCGGACTCTGCAGGGCCGTACCTCGCCAAAAAGGTGCCACACTCTTTCGGGCCCGATCTCTGTGGTCTCGCTTCTCCGTTTACCTTTCGGGAGGCTTTCCCTCTTTTGTCTCTCGGGACTCTTCTTTGTTTTTCCGTCGATCTCTTTTTTATTCCTACTGCGAATGTCAGACTCTTGTCGCAATGCTCTCCCTCTTTCTCCCTATAGTCCCGAACGCCGGGGGGAAATTCAGAAACGGCCGACAAGAACACGCGTCGACGGAATCGCGTTCTCGTACGCTCTCGTCGCGACGATATTCATCGCGAGGCGCCGGACACGTTTGGGAGATCCGAGTGAAATAATCGGGCCCACGCAGACCGGTTCGCGAGAACAGATGCTCTGTCGAACAATCGAACACATTTGGGCATGTACGAACGTTAAGGTACGATTTCACAGTAGCGTCGGCGTCCGAGCCAATCAGCAGACACGAGTCAAACATCGACCCAATTAGCTTGACGTTATCATGAAATTATACCTTTACGAATGCGTTGCGGCGCGCGTGACGCGTCGAGCGGGAACTTCAAAAGCCGATTCTCAAGCGATCGAGCATCTCGATGTTCTCTCTGAGTTTTTCTGCTTGGAATAGGTGGAGACAAATTTATTCAACAGGATTTCTACTGATACCAATAGTCACCACTTCGAACACCTTTAGCGTATGTATCTAATCTAATCTAATCTATGATAAAATATTTTTACTATTCGAAGATACTCTCGGGGTGTTAACGGTTATTACTTCACTCTGTATACGTGTTTCATTCTAAAGTGTCCAGATAAAAACAGACTCAACAGAGAAGCCGACAGAGGCATAGTTGAGTGCAATACAACTTTTTATTTGCAAATGTAAAAATTCTATTAACACATACGAAGATGGTAAAAAAGATCGCTTCTCTCGATGTTGTTAAAACCGGGCGCGTTCTTGATAGTTCAATTCGCCGACATTCCTCACGACGCTAAGTACCATGAAGCAAAAGACGGGTGAAATCATACTCGCAGATAGATTTCCGCCGGATCTCGTCGAAATAGACATACGCATCGCAATTTAAAAGGAGGGAAGCGCAAGAATGTGTCGTAAAAGTAGCCGAAATCGGACAAAAAACATATTGCGGCAAAACTTATCGGAGATGCCTATATATATGCACACACACACACACACACACACACACACACACACACACACACACACACAATTAAAGTATATATTAGAGTTACGCATCGAACGTCAAACTCTCATGAAGAAAGGCTGATGATTTGCTTTTCGGCTGTAACGAGAAAAAAACCGCCCGCGGCGCGATACACAAACTTAATCTACAAAGATCAATTAATTCTATATTTCTTAATTCTAGTATTTAATTAGTGTTCCTTAGAATTTGTACTGTGTCGCATTATTACAAGTATTATGACTCACACTTTGCTTTGGGGTAACTTTTGAAGTGTCAGTCTTACACGTGACGCTGCCGGATTTGTGTCATGTGATGACAAATGATCGTTTCGAACACATCCCCGTCTCTTTCTCCCCTTCAAAGAATAGAAACAATTCTCTTTCGAATCATATCAATGGAAAAATTATGCTTTTTTTTTCGATCCTTTCGATCGATATCGTGTCCTTTGTATCGAGAGTTACGTATGAAACTGCCTCCTATTCTTTCTTTCAATGCGCTTTTTATTTATCTAAACTACTAGCAAGGCCATGATACAGGCATCGATTTATACACAGGCGATATTTTTGGAATACAATCGGACCGATGGTCACCGACAATCTCTGACGTAGTCGACTGTGCAGTCCAGTCAAACAAACAGTGTGTATAAATCGGTATAAATTATCGGCGCGTCGGTATTAATTAATACTCTACAGCATGTACACAAACAGCGTTCGACGCGGTTTCACCGATCGAGAAAAGTGAATTCTCATCGTGTACCGCGAAATCGCTCAGACATCCAGTGATCGAACGTATCATTCGTATCTTGCAGCTGAATCCATTACGGAAACGTTATACATATTCGACTTAATTCACGTACAATTACAGGTGCTGGGCGTGTAACCGTCGCACTGACTGTCGAGTTCTATTAAACGGTAGTTGAAGGCACGTATTAAAGGACAATTGTGATTCGAACGACGCGACTCGCTCGCTCGCTCTCTCTCTCTCTCTCTCTCTCTCTCGTGAATCTCCGCACGCGTTATCGGACCGATATCTCTCATTAAGCCGATCTCCCGTGAACGCGGAACCTGTACAGACACGTGTAGTCCAGTTGTCCGTGATTGCTGTGTATCCTCAGCTCAATATATTCGTACGGTCTCTTGATCTCTGTGTTCTGTGTGCGAAAAAGCATCGATTATTTTATGTTATCATAGCTTTGCAAATATTTATTTATTTCTTAATGATCAACTTATAACAATCAAAGTATTTATATATGTATATAATAATTAAATTTATAATCAATTAAATTTATTGTTTAATTGAATTTTTAAATTTAATTAATTTTACTATTACAAATTAAATTTATAATTAAATTATTTGCGACAATTGCAGGTGATTATTAAGAGTGCAAACTCTATCACGATAGAATAATCGTAACGAGTAATTGATTAAAAATCGCGGAATCATGAGAGACATAATGTTCTCGAAATTAGTTTTACGAGTAAATTGAAACTGAATTGTTGTCAGTAAATTTACCTGCACCGGGAAATACTGCAAGCTGTCTTCGGAAAGTATAAATTCATATTCACCGAACCTCACAGGCTCGGGATCATTCTCATCCGTCAGACCCTGCGAAAGAGAGAAAAGAACAAACAAGTGGATAAGGATACGAGAGGATAAAAATAGATACAGCGAATGAGGACCCACATATATATAATCAAGAGTTATATAATATTTCCTCCGTGTAGAACATATTAACGTAAAATCATGCCGCGAAGGACGCTACAATCACCGATATCCAGCCGAGACAAGAGAGGTTATTCTACGTACCCAGACATCGAATTTCTTGGGCGCACTTGACATGTTCTCGTTCGGCAGGATCAGACTGGATACATGCTCCAAAGTAAAGCCGGTCACGTGAATAACGCAGCGCAATTGTATCAAGAGGTATCCGGGAAAATCTTGGAACGCCCAGCATCCGCCGGGTTGCAGCGCGTTGCCCTGAATCACCGTCCGCGGATTGTTGCTCTCATAGTACAGCGTGAAGCCGAATAAGCTGAAAGCTTTCGACTTTATGTCGTATCTCTGGGTGCATCGCGTGCTGATGATCTGACCACCTGCAAGCGCAACACGTTTGCTCGATCATAAAAGTAAGTTACAAATGTAAGTTACATGTTAAGTACGTTGTTGATTCGTTCAAATCTAATCTCCAATTCTTAATTTGATACGGGTTTAACACAAATATTATTTCATTCATTTTTAAAGATGTTTTGTTTTTTTTTATTTAAGGTGAAGGTATTTCTTCTATCTAGATGATCTATTTATTCATCGAAGTTTAGATAATTTGATCTAGATACCGACAAACATTGTCTATCGATCGTCCACTTATCGGCACGATTACAACGTACCTGCTGATTCCAAAGCATAATCCACTTGACCTGTCTTATCCGCGTCGTATATCCGCAGGATCTCTTTCACTACCTTGCGGACACGCTCCTCCGAAATGTAAGCGCCGACGTTGTCGCTCAACACTGCCTGATCTGTGAGGACATGATTGAAACAAGTCACGAGTTTCGAAAGTGTCTTGAATACGAAAGATAATCTAGATTTGTTCTTTCTAGGTGCATTAATGGGCGGGCATGCGCCAAAAAGATATACTGAAATTTAAAAAGTAGAACAGTTTTTTTTTCCTTCAACGGTCAATTGTACACTTATTTCACTCTGAAGGAGGAAAGTACGACCTGAGTTCACCTAAAAAGAACAAACTCGATGTTAAGACATATGAAACTTGTGCGTCGGACCGTCGCGGGACGCAAGCATCTTCTGAATACCCCTCGTCAGATCTTCCTTCGAGGTTCCAAGCGGGAAATAGCCGGACAAGATCTTCTCCACGTGTTTCTCTATATCCTCGCTCACGAACGCCTCCTTATTGGCGTCGCAACAAAACTTCAACTCCGTGTACAGGTCACGTAGCTTCTCGAACTCGTGTTTGATAACTTTCAGCTCGTTGCTCAGAATGCCACTCAGTTCGCTAACGTCCTGTTTATTTGCTACGTCAGCGATTATGTCCTGAGTAAAAGCATTGATGACTTTACCGATTAGTCAAACCGCCAAGTTTTTTTCCACGAGGACATTCATCAGCTACCCGAAGTTGTAGAAAATAATGGAAATTATTTCGACACTTAAACTTGTACCTGACTTTTTGCAAACAAACTTTGAATTTCATGAAAAGGGGCACCGAATTAATTTGTAAAACCGAAATAAAAAGTGAATCGCGATTCACAAGTTCGGGGAACCCCCATTCTTGAAATATTTAATCTATTTTACGATATGATTACACCTATACAACCATTTCCAAAATAGGAGCCCTGGTCTATACGTCGGTCTTCCGGAAGCAGCGATAAGATGTTGGACGACTTACGTTGTATTTTTTCTGAAAGTCAGCATCGCTTCGTTTATAGTCCTCCAAGATCCGAGTGATGTTCATGAGATGTTCCTACGATATAAAAATTTGAAGTAGACCACACAGGACGTAAAGAAGCGAAACGCATGCGATCAGTACCATCTGATGTATCTGTTCCTCTTCGAGCGTCGCTATCCTACCGATCAAGGCATCGCCCAATTTCCCTTTAATCTCTCTGCTCTTACGGTTCTTCCATTGTACCATACCAGCCGATACTTTTTCCATTTCCGGTACGTTTCCAACGGGAAATAGTGATAAATATTCCGCCAACCACCAACAACCTGAAACGCATTTCGTATTATCCGCAAATATTTACGAGACGGTTGAAAGAAAGCTCATCTCCTTCTCCTGTTACTCTATTGAGATTATACGGTGTTAAAATGCAAAGTGCCAACTGACTGTCCAATTTGCAATCAAAGATACATTTTAGATTTCCATAGACAGTTGTACCGATTGCCCGGCGTAACTGCATGCAAACTTGTTCGCCAATGGAACCAATTATCATGTAATATGGTAACTGAGAGAAGGACAGACGAAGGAACTCACCGTTTCGATGGCGACCGATTGCAATCACCGTTCCACGTTTCTCAACGCACTCCGACTTTCTAACCCAGTAGAGTAATCCTCCCTCTATCCTTCTCCCAACGCAAAATTTATTATTTTTCGCTTTTTACCGAGATCGGAGCAAAACATGAGAAATGTCGTGATGACACTATGACGCTATATCACTCTAACGGACTCAGTTTTTCGCTAAAGGACTACTAATATCGCATACATGGAAAGTATTTTATTAAGTATGAACGTGCTTCTCGTACAATACAGATATATTATTATCTAGCACGACGATTGTGTTATTATCTCGACGGTTATTACACCAAAATATATTATCGTATTATTATATCCTCAACACGTGTGAAGAAAATAAAAAAAGAAACGGCAAATGTGGTGGTTAACTGAAAAAATGATGAACTTGCATTTGACCCCAACTTGTTATACTTTGTAAATATATAATGTAAATATATGATTGCCAATATATCTAGTACGTAAAAACGGATAAGATGTATTTGTATAGCGAACATAAAATATATATTAGATAGAATATAAACGACACATGTAACAGAGAAATAACTATCGGATATAAACAAGCGATCAGCTATATCTTGAAATATAATACAAATATATAAATATACGCATAATATATAGAAGTATAACATAGTGTAAATATATGTATGTATGTGTATAATATATATATATATATATATATATATATATAATTTTTTTTGATACACAACATATTAGTTAATTAATGCAACAAAAAAATAATAAAACATCAACTGACAATAACATCAGTACATATACATATAGAAGACATTTGGTTAACAGATTCAAATACACAAAATACAAAAATCACAGAAATAAAATCTTCGAAACATATCAGTATCATATTTCTCGATGTATGGCAGAAATTACATTTAATTACATACGATTCGAAGAAATCAATCAAGTAGAACAGAGGATTATTGAAACTTTGTGATTATAAAAAAAAAAACCAACGATACAGTACTATTACACACTGATTTTGTCATCGAGCGAACTAAAGAAAAAAAACGATGGTTAGTCACACACGAATGTTAATTCAAAGAGTACATGGACGAAAAAGGCACGTCATATTCTGATCAAACATGCCCATAGAAACAGTTATCTTCCATCATTATATATCAATCATTTTATAAGAGATGAAAATTTTCGAACAGTTCTCTGAAGCCCTGTACGATACCACATCGCGTTACTTTGATCATTACGAAAATATATAAATGTTCAATACCGCCTCCATCCATTTGACTTGAATTAAAAAAAAAAAAATATATATATATATATAAATATATTTTATGATTGTTACTATATATCCCCTAAACCAGTTTTTTTCTTTCAATTAATCACCACGTTACGTTCCATCCAATGGGAGGCATTTCGGGCAAAGACACGTTCACACTGGGTAAGAAGTGCATGGTGTAATCTTTGAAATTTGCAATGTATTTTGCGAATAACTCATAGTCAAGAGATGTTAGGTTGATAATATCGTTAAAGATGTGATAAGTCGTCTGAGTGACACCATTTTGGATATTGCGCAGAGCGTCCACGCAGGTAAAGAAATGCCCCTGCGTGATGTATGCCCCTGAAACAAAAAGAAAACGAAGGCCAGGGTAGGTTTGCGCGCCTTTCTCATGTGGTCCCGTGAAAGACATTAGTCTCGTGATTGGATGATATCGGTTTAGATATCGTACAGATAAGTGAAAACTGGAGTCCGGAGTCGCATAGTTTTCTCTTTCTTTTTTGTTTGTTTATTTGTTATGCAACACAGCTCTGATGTAAGACTCACCGAGTAGAAGAAGTAACGGTATAAGGGCAATCCAGATAATCCTCGGGGTTTTTTCCTGCAACCACTTCCTGACGCCGGTGAATTGGCTCAGCAACCAAGTGTCGAAGAGAAACAATCTGGCGATGAAGAAGTATATGTTGCGCGAATAATGTTCCACCGTTTTCCTCAATGTGCTCCATCTGGATTCTAAGTGGTAAAAAGTAAAAAAAAAAACATCTTCAGTTAACCAGCCGCATTCTTAATATTGACGGTAATTATTGTATTGTACAAAATCAAAATATTTAGTGTAAAAGCGTGTTATGCCGTGTGTTATACCGTGAAAATAGCGATAAGTTTGCGCATCGTAATACTGGCTCCTTCTGTCAGTACGGAACTTGAAAAATTCGGTGGTTTTCATGAACCAAACGACAACGAAAGTAACGAAATACGTAAACCACTGTACAATTTTCCATCTTTGATTAGCCTTGACCACCGACGATGTCATGATTTTATCAAATTCAGCATCAGAATCATATTGAGATACATTATGTACATCAGTGTATCTTGAAGGAGTACTAAACCACGAGGTATATCTGTTGGAAAACATAGAATTGCATTATTCTATATTACTCTCTTTTCAACTACTTATCTTGAAAACTAAAGAAAGGATACGAAACCTTTGTTGAAGACCTGAACTTCCAGAATCGGTATAAACTACTTCCTTATGACTCATATACTGTTCCACATGTGTTTTCTTGTATATAGCCGACCTTCTTACGGAATCCGATGTACGCAAAATATCTTCAGACTACAAGGTTGAAGAAACAAATGAATTTTACAATAGAAATCATGTGAAATTGTCGTCGACAGAAAATAATGTAATATCTAATACGCTAGCAACGAACTTACCGAACGAAGTAGGGGACCGGTCTCTTTCAAATCGACTGTATCTACAGTGTCACTGAATCCACTCTCTGTCGTTCTTCGTGAAGCCTGACTGGAGCTTTGAGGTGCAAAATTATTCCCACTGTCGTCCGTGTGTATAGACCGCCTCGACATATTAGGCATAGCTAACACACCCGGAGCTATTTCATAACGACACTGCGATGCTCGCGAATACGTATAATCTGTCTTTGGAAAAACGCTGCAAACATTTTCAACGATGTTCGGACAATTTCATTGTGGTGAATAAGTCAATTTATCATCATTTGTACATTCTCTACCATTATATTTCGTACCGTTTGACCAATCCCAAAGTCATCGATATTAAGAATTGTTACATATTATTGTTTACAAACATTTCTTCTCCAATAAAAAGATTGTAACTCCAAAATGTGGAATCCATGATACAATTAAATGGAATATAGAGAGAATATAGAGAGAAGAATATTGATCGCATTAATGAAACCAGTGAGAAGAACTATGGATTTGTTTCTCAGAATAAAAAGTATATGCAACAAAATTCAAAAAATACGTACTTCCACCATTCACCAGCTTGCTTGTAGATCTCATAAGCAGATCCCGGTCTACTCGGAGGATCCTCCCTTTCTCCTTCTTCGGACGAATAATCACTAGTAAGTATCCTGTGCGATGTAACACTTTTGTGTTTTCGCTCAACCTTCTGATCAGACGTGTCCTCCTTATTTTCACTTTGACCGTTGGCAAATATCTGCCTCTTGGCTCTTTGGCGCTCTGACCGTCGCTCGGCTTTCCTCGGGATCGAGCTCTCTGACTTTGTGCTCTGATTATCCGTCACACTTTCTACCACGGATCCTTCCTCCTTGTTCTCCTCTATGGTCTCCATATTTTTCTCGTGCATTTTGGTGCTACTCCCGGTTCTATTATTTAAGGGAATAAGAATGCAAGGATACATGCTTGATCATTTTGCACACTACGATTCTAGATTACAGGGAATACTTTTCAAATCGACTACTCACAACGATCTGGAACCGGATCTTCTGCTGCTTGTTACTTCTCCAGGTGTGTGGGATCTTTCCCGGCTCCTGCTTCTGAGATCATAGTGATGCTCCGTCACCTCCACATCTGGCAAAGGACGGCTCGGGACCATGGGAGTGTGCGAGCGCGACCTGCTCCCGCTGCGCAACTCGTAGTGATGTTGCTCGTGCTCCATTTTCCTGTCGAAGAACGAAACACATCGAGCGAGGTGAAGAGCAGCTCTCTGTAGCGTGTAAATTCTGAGAATCCAGTAAGCAAGAATACAACGTTATTACAAGGATATTTTGTAATTCTTAATGTTGCGTATGTCATTATTAACAATATTTGATCGAAACATTAAAAATAATCTTCCCACACTTTAATATTTAAGAATATAATATTATCGAGTTTAAAAACATTCGTAAGATATCGTCTATAAAATCCATGCAAAATCAATTAGTGTGTTCTTTTTAATTGAACTGGTGCAATAAGTGAGACACTTGTCTCACTCGAACTTTCTGCAGCAGTTCAGCAGTGCAACTGAAAAGAACAGACCGAATGTTTCGGAAGATTGATTCAACGCTTCTCGCTTACTGGGAACCAACTTAGCCCGGTTTACTCATAGGTGACACAGCCGGAGGTTATTCGTTCCTGGTTGGTGAGGCAAAAGGGCTGCCGGCGAGCATATGTGTCCAAAATTGCAGCTAAAAATAGTCTTCTCTCTCCCCCGAAGGACAGCTGCGGTCCTTCTCTCCCGATGGATTCCTATTTCTGGTATTCCTCCTCCCTACCCGCCAGCGATTTTTCGCTCGAAAAATTACTCGCACTGGTTCGTGTAGCACGACAAGATAACACTGGTTCTCGTGAAGATGACGTGGAGAGACCCGCGTTTTATCGTACACCGAGGTGACTGAAGTTTCTTTTGACACTCACTCTCAGCAATACGCCTCCTTCTCGTCCGAGAACCAGCACTCGTGAAAGAACCGATTGTTGTAACGGCCACTAACATCGGACCTACGCTACACTCGTATCTTTCTCTCTCTTCTCATATTCATCGCGGAACAATCTCGGCGCGCGTGCGTCCGCCAAGGCGGACAAGTTTGCATACCGCTATTTATAGAAAACTCACCGTGCGTTTCCGCGCTAACGGGACGTTCTGCGTTGCGCAACGTGCAACCGAGCGAACGCGCGCGCGCGCGATACACACGCGTGTTCGATTAAAAACTCGCGACGATTGATCCCTCCCCCCCTCGCGACACACGCATACTCATTCACGTCACCCCCCTCTGCCGTCGGATCCGCGCGTTCTATCTCTCTCTATCTTTCGATCCGTCGCTCGTCGAGTGACTGCACGCGCGCGTTTTCTGATGATTCATACTCATGATTCTTCCCCTGTCGAGGGAAACTCGTCAGCTACACTGCGGGAAGGCGGGGATATGTTTGTCGCGTGACCTTTTTCGGTTTACCGCTGATTAAGACGGAAATAGTCACTTCATACCCCAGCGGTCAGAAAACGAAGCTCACGTCACGATGGATTTTTTTTACCGATCGAGAATCAATATGCATCTTTCATTTAGAGACCTAAATGTCGGTCCACAATAGGTATTTTAAGCTTTAAGAAATTGACCAATCATAGTCGAATGTGAAGAAAATAATTAACTGTGATTAGTCAATTTCTTAAAGCTTAAAATACCTATTGTAGATCAGAACTTAGTTTAAAAAAAAAGTTTCGGTTGACACGGTGCGCGAATATCTATAACCGCAGCATTCGCGCCGAAAAAGCGATAATGGCTGCGTTTAGAAAACACAAGCGATCATTGATTTTTATTGTTAGATTTCTAAAGACCAATTACGTTGACGAATTATCCAATCGTTGTGTCTTCTGAACGTGCCTAAAGTCCGTATTAGACTATGGATTGAGATTGAATTAAATTTGGCCAATCGGTGCAAAATTAACTGAACTCAAATTTAGTGAACTTTGCACTGATTAGTCAAATTTCAATCACAATCTCCAATCCGATACGGGTTTAAAACTCGTATCACATTAGAATTAAGATTGGATGAAAATTTGACCAATCAGACCAAGTTTAACTAAATTCAAGTTCCATAGTGTGATACGGACCTAATGGACCTGCGGGCCATTATCGATGCCTGCCGCGCAGGCGAGAATTTAGCGGGCACAGTGAGCGGTCGACGCACGCATGCGCGGGCGCGCAGTCTATGGGCGCGTTGTACACAAATACAACACTACCGCGACTCTGCAGCGAGTGAGGTTCGTCAGAATACGTTGGTCGTATGATGGCGCAACATGTTGGCCGTCCGTTTACAACCCAGCCGACGATACTTTTGTCACTGCTCATCCACGCGCTCGTCTCGCAGCTAGCGAACAACGGTGACAACGCGTCGGCGACGTCCGCCGTCGAGGCCGCCGCTAGCTGGTACACGACTCCCGCAGTGCGGTTCGTGGTGCGTTCGGCGCGCGTGATCACGCCGTCGGAGCTGTACCTGTCGGTACCTGTCAATGCCTTCGTCAACGCCTTCGACGACGATCTCCTCTCAGTCGAGTTCTTCGGCATCGGGCTCGATCATCCCGATGTCACGCTGCACTGGTCACCGTGGCCGCGTGGCGAGTGCCCACAACATTCGGACAACGTCCTGAACCTGGTGTGGTTATCGCACATGGCCAACCGCGGGATCTATCAGTTCCGCACCAAGCTCGACCCGAGTCTCGCTGTTGTCTACTTCTGTATGAGAAACGACACGGACAAGACCTGGCGGAACCTCGGCGAGAACGTCCTAATCAGAATTCCGGTACGATCGGAGTAAGTAAGCATTCGATAGCTCCCCCTTCCCCTCTTTATATATATATATCTTTCTCTGTTTACCTTTCTCTTTTTCCTTCGACTTTCCCCCACTTCTCAGCAGCTCTCTGTCGAGTTTGTCAACTTTTCCTCAGGTGTATTTTCCCTGCTTCATCTTTTTTCGTCTCTCTCTCTCCTCTCTCTTTTTCCTTTTTTTTAACTCTGCCCCTGTACGCCACGAGTCTGAATATATTCATCGTTCGACGAGCGTAGGAGTAATTTCTAATATTAGCTCGATGATATGTTGAGAAAAAATGTATCGATTATACGCGAAAAGTTCGAGTAAGAGACCCCGCTGAGAAGTGACAAGAACTGAGAGTCAACTCGTGTGTACCAAAATTCAGAAATTTGATGGACTCAGTTTTACATAGTACTTTGAGTTTCCTGTTCTAATCTTTTTTTTTATATGATAGGTTTATATTATTATTTTACGAAGAATAGGTTTTCGTCTCACATATTTATGTTTTATTTTGGCGACACGACAGTATTTCTTATGTATAGTATTTATACTTTGGGAACGTGTCTTTATCTTCCACAATTTACTCATTTCACAGATCAATGACTATGCCTGCATGATCACAAACTATTACACAATATTTAATTCTGATGTCGCGTCTTTTACATTAACAGCCTATCACGTAGCGATTGTTAACGATTTCTTGCTTATGGGTTGCTCTTGGGTTGTATCTGAACAGCCTCGAGCACCAACAAGTCTGACAACAAATTTCGGAATCAACGTTCGTCCGAGGTGACACTCGCAATCCTGCGCTTTCGTACACAAAACATTCTGTGTTTATTCTCTTTCTTTCCTCCTGCTCTCTCAAAGTTCCAGTTCGATCGAATTTCTCTCTCCGCGACCGAGAAGAATCGAAAGGACGAACGAAATGTTTTCGATATAAGAGGGGATAAAACGTACAGCGAATTTGTGTCTCTTTATTTCTATGAATACTACCATCGCGGCACACATACCGAAAAGGAGAGGAACTTTGTGTGTATGCGACAACACAAAGTTTAGTATTTCCTCAAGTCGTTCTTACCGCCTTATAAGACGAATGAATATTTACTTAACATCAACTTTAAGGAGAACGCAATCGTCTTGTATCGGTTAATAGAAGATTAGCTTAATTTTGAGTAAATATCTATATATATATATATATATATATATATATATATATGTGGTTGAAATCTTTTGCCTTACTAAAGTAATGAGCCTATTATATACTGAAATTATACATTCTAAAAAGATTAGCGAAGGCGAAAGATTTGTACTTCAGCAACTTATCGTTGAGATATTTATTTATATATTTTATCGCATCTATATAAATTTGCGCTTTTACTAATCTTTTCAGAATTTATAATTTTATTATATGATTCATTAATTTATTAAGGTGAAAGATTGAAGTGCACATTGAATATACTTGTAAGTATAAATATTACAAAAATATCTAAGCAAAAAATCATATTTACATGACATTTAATAAATCTGCTGAAGGAAATCTGTCGTATTGGTGGTGGAGTAGAACTTTTCCCCCGCAGCCCCTCCTCGTTCTGATCTTAACCTAACCCTAACTCAACTTACACAATATTGTGAGACATTGATAATATCTTTTGTCAGTTCTCTCTCTCTAATCCACAGTATGACAGGTTCCCTAACCACATAACCATTATTTTAAAAAATTGTTTTGTTAACAAGGTCCGACGGGAGCTGAAACTTTTTGTATATTACTTAGCATACCTTTCTTAATAATATAGGTCAAAGTCAGGGTTGTTGAAGAGGAGAGGTTCGTTGATATACATATTTACCTGATTTTGTTTAAATTTTGTCACTGTTAGTGACAAATTTGAACGAGGAGCATCCGGGAGAGGGGGAAAAATGGGATACATTTTTTTTATCGGCCTCATAAAGAAACTTTAGACGCACACATTTACCAGACTGAGAAAGGAATTCGTGTGGTCAACGTTGGAACGCGGCGACGATAACTACACTGAGAGAGAAAGACCTATTCAAATTTCAAAAAATTTTTTGCATCCAAAGAAATTTCATCATTGGCATGCTCCGAAAAAACTGATGTTTCGATTAAATCAATACGATCGTTAGACTTTCCAACGAATACGTATCTTGATATCTTAAATGAGAAATTTGTTCGTGAAACGAAAGACAATTTTCTTATAAGGAAATTATTTGTTTCATTTTATATATTTTTATTGTGACCGAATAATATTTTATTCGGTTAAAGGATATTATTTCTCAAATAATAGCGTTCTCTCGAATGAGACAGTATAAATAAATAATATTTCGTTGTTTCCGTGAAGGAAATTTTAGCTAGATAAATGGAAATACTGAGTCTAAGGAAATCTTTTCCTCTCTATGTACCACGTCGATGCTGTCCGACGTATCCATTGACCACAGGCGCGTTGTCATCAGCTGGCGGCGGGCCAGCCGACCGATTCAATAGTCAAACTTGGTCCGCGCCAAATCGGTAAAAATAGATTAGCGTGTGACCTATATATCATATCTTTTCTCTCTCCCCGATAACGCGCGCGTTATTTGCATGCGTGTCGCGAAAATTCATACATCGTGCGATCCCGAAAAGTCGTTCGCGTTAGTCTACAATAGGTATTTTAAGAAATCGACCAATCGTAGACCGACGATGAGAGCGAGAAGGAGGAGGGAGAGCACAGAAGTTACTTGATTTTTCTTCTGCATTTGACGACGATGCGACGACGAAGTATCATTGTTTGAACATCTCAGCCCCCGCCGGGCGAGATAGCCGTATTTGTAAAAGGGCTCTCGTTACACGCTTCCCAGTGATTCACTCTTAGATTAGCTCGGTATTGATATCGGCGTGGAAACGATAACGTTTCGTCCCGGCCGATTCGTTAGTATTTGGTTCATCGACCACTGTTTTTTCTTTTTGCGCGCGTACATATGGCGCTAAACGTAAGAAGTAAAAAAAACGAGGAAAAATTTTATTATTATTAGGTGTACAAATTAAGTACCCATTTTGGATACAATAATAGGTCTTTAATGCTGTTTCCTTTCTTTATAAATCAACTATATGTCCAACTTTAACATTTCTCTCACAAACTTGGAAGTATATTCATGAATTTTGGCAGATCTTCCGAACTATTGTAAAATAATCGTTGAACACTATTAGGTGGCCCTTTTCACCATGTACTTTTTGTAAATAAACTTTGACGGTAATTTTTGTCCGCAGAGAGTATCATCGCGTGCGACGGGACGATCCGCTCGAACGACCCGACGATGATTCCCCGACGCCGCGGAACAACACAACAACGGACACGCATATCGAAGGCTTGCGGGTGGAGATGGCCGACAAAGAGCCTAGTTACAGTGACGAGGGGATTCCCGAGATCTTGGTTGGCACTAAAGCGGTGATCCGGTTATTCGGCACCGGTATCACGAAGGGCACGCTGATCACCTTCACCGACGTGCAAGCCGAAAGAGGCACTTTCTGCGACAAAATTAAGAGTGACGAGTTTCCCGTGAGTATTATCATCATTCGTACGACGGGAGAGAATGGCGAAAGTTACGTTCTTCTTTCAGGTGGAGGCGGTGGAGGGAAGTACAGCGACCATTAACGTAGTGCTGCCTCCCGGATCGCCATTTTATATATGCGCGAAACGACCAGTGCCCGACAATCTGAAGAAAGATACGGTAATGTTTAAGCATCAAGGGACCGCGTTGTATAATACTGTGAGTACTCTCTCTTTCTTTTTTCTTAGAAACGCGAACAATTCGTTTGGAGGGAAACGATTGCTTACAGTTAAGGAATTTCAGATTCGCACGTATGAGAAACTGTTACCGCTCTGGGTCACTATCTTGATCATTCTCGTTTGCCTAAGTCTTTCTGCACTTTTCTCCGGACTCAATTTGGGCCTGATGGCGATGGACAGAACTGAATTGAAGATACTCTGCAACACCGGTACGGAAAAGGTGGGCGGAGTCATTCTTCTTCCTCCTTCTCTCCTTCTTTTTTTACTTGTTCACATATTATCTTTGTATTGCAGGAGAAACAATACGCGAGGACCATTCAGCCAGTGAGAAATCATGGGAATTATCTCTTGTGTTCAATCTTATTCTCTAATGTTCTCGTCAATTCAATGTTCACGATACTGTTGGATGACTTAACATCCGGATTAGTCGCTGTTATCTGCTCGACATTAGCTATCGTTATCTTCGGTGAAATTTCACCGCAGGTATGTATTCCGTCTGTTGAATTGAAGTTTTTCTTCGTTTCGAACAATTTCGAAGAGTCTTTCCAACATCCATTAATTGTATCCTTGAATATTATATTTTATTTCATAGATTTGTGAAATGGTAATTATTAATAAATGTACATGAAACAATGTAAAATAATAAGTAATTAAATATTGTAATAAAGTAAGAAAAGTGACGGAGTAATAAATATTTCAAGTATAGATTTAGCTAAACTCTTCAACGAGTCCGTTAATCGCGGATATCTTTGATGAGCCAAATATATGCTTTTTTTGGCAGGCTATTTGCAGCAGGCACGGATTGTGCGTCGGTGCGAAAACTATCTTTCTGACCAAGATGACAATGTTAGTGACTTTTCCGTTAAGTTATCCAATCAGCAAAATTCTGGATGTTATTCTTGGCGAGGAAATAGGCAACGTGTATAATCGAGAGAGACTCAAAGAACTGGTTAAGGTAAGAAAGAAGTGACTAATAAATAATGATCGAACTGCATGGTGATGTAGTTACATATTTGTCATGCTACTTGTTATTACATTTCCCTAAATTAGCCGACTTCGTTGATTAATTAATTTCATGGGACGTTGTTTTTGGGAATCGTTAGAAGAGTGGAAAATGTGCATGATTATTATTTGAAAAATTGATATATTAACGCGTACTATACAGGAACCTTTCTAGGTAACGACCGAATACAACGATTTAGAGAAAGATGAAGTAAATATAATTGCAGGAGCGTTAGAACTGCGGAAGAAGACCGTAGCCGACGTAATGACCAGAATCGAAGATGTATATATGTTGAACTATAATGCTAATCTAGACTTTGAAACTGTGTCCGAAATTATGACGTCAGGTATGCGTGATATTTTTAATATATTTCGACAACGTTCGCATCTCTAAGTAAAAAATGTCGTGCCATTTCGCTGATATTATCAGTTCAATTAAATACTCTTATAGCAGAGATAAATTTTGTATTAGATAAGCAAAATTTATTCAGCTAATTTCCTTCTCAAGGAAAGCACCTGAGTCGTCTCTCTTCGTACTAATTGTGTCTAGTGATGTGAGATCAATCGTGTTTGATTTGTAGGGTTTTCTCGTATACCAGTGTACGAAAATGCAAGAACTAATATAGTGACGATGCTGTATATCAAAGATCTCGCATTCGTTGATCCAGCTGATAACATGCCACTCAAGAGGCTTTGCGACTTTTATCAAAATCCGTGTAATTTTATCTTTGAGGATGTCACGTTGGATATAATGTTTAAACAATTTAAAGAAGGTACGCGACTGAACGTCCTTTCTCGCTCTGAATCGATGCTATAAAGTAATGGAAAATATACAATTAATAACATAATAATTAAGTAATTAATATTTCCAGGTCACAAAGGTCACATGGCTTTCGTACAGAGAGTCAACAACGAAGGTGATTGTGATCCATTTTACGAGGTGATTGGTTTGGTTACGTTGGAAGATGTTATCGAAGAATTAATTCAGGCTGAGATTATCGATGAGACTGATGTATTTAGTAGGTTTTGTTTCGTCGCAAACTTTCGTTCAAATCGTGATTTCTTTTTTTCGTGAGCATCGATTCTATAAAGTACGTTTAACGCTGTAACGTTGATCCTTGCAGTGGATAACAGGAGTAAACGTAAACGACAGATTCGTCCGAAAATGCCCAAGGACTTCACGATATTCACTGAGAAGAAAGAGAACCAAAGAATTCACATCTCTCCGCAGTTGACCCTGGCGATGTACCAATACTTGTCGACAAGTAAGAAGGAAAAATATTTTGCGGATTATAAAAATATGTTCACACACATATATCTCTCGAATACTCACGTAATTATGTGTGCTTCCTTCCAGTTGTGGACACTTTTAAACCGGACGTTATTTCCGAGACAATCCTGCGACGTTTGTTGAAACAAGATATTATTTATCATATTAAAGTGAAGTCGCGCGAGAAAGCCAAGACAGACCCAGCTACGATAATCTATCAGCAGGGGAAAGCAGTCGACTACTTCGTGCTGATCCTGGAAGGTCGTGTCGAGGTGACGGTCGGCAAAGAAAACATGATGTTCGAGAGTGGCCCGTTCACCTACTTCGGCTCTCAAGCGCTCACTGCTAACATTGGGATCGGTAAGGTTTTAACCGGGCTGAATGAAAATCTGACAACACGAACTCACTTTATGTGTCATATCTTCAAACAGCAAATCATCACGTAACATGTTTTCTCCAATATATTTATTTTTCAACCAATATATCGGTACTATTATTCGCTATTATTCATTTCTTATATCTGTTTTTACGTAATCTTCTGTCAAACTAAACTCTGTGTGAACTGAAGAGAGGAAAAATCGCACATACGACAAACGTGTTGATATGTTTCCAGCCGAGTCACCAACGAATGCAAATCCGCAGACAACCGGGAGCCTTCAGTCCGTTAATTTGGAATCCATGTTACGTCATACCTTCATACCAGACTACACCGTGCGCGCGGTTACCGAGGTGTTCTACGTGAAAATTAAGCGATCCTTGTATCTCGCAGCGAAGCGTGCCACACTTCTGGAGAAGAGCCAGAAAGACCCGTTGCCTAGTCAAGAACAATTCGACGACGAAGTAGAAAAGGTTACTTACTCGTACATGAATCGTCACGATGCTTCGAATCAGTCAGAGAAACGTTATGCTAACTGAACCGAACGATAGAAACGCGTCGGGCTCTGATTGGGTGAATTTTTCGTACATCTCTCCGATCAATTTCAACTTTTGATGATGATGATTCTGAAGAAAAATTATCATTTTTACTTTTAGTTTTTATCACGTTCACTCCTATGTTGCTAGAATTATAAAAATTCAGGTCGAAATATGTTACTGCGTGTATTACGAAATGTATGGTTTTCAGAGTCTAGTCAAGCCTCAACTTGCGCAATGGCAATATGTTAATATCGTGTGCATATATATACACATAGAATATTTCACATAAAAATATTAATATCAGATAAATTGTATAAATAATTTTATTATTTTTTTTTTCTTTTACAGTTGTTGCATTCACTGGAGGAGGACGATCATAGTGTACCTGAATCGCCGGTATTGCCCTCAGATAAAGCTGCAGAGAACGAGAAGACAAAGGACATCGCCCACTCGCCCGTACGCAGTGTAACGGCACCGACGTCGCCGCTTCCGACCAGCACCAGCTCGGTCATCAATTCCAAGTTCGTTTCGCCGCGGAACGACGGGAAAACGAAAAATCTGCCAATGAAGGTTCATACACACTTCACTTCTACATATCTCTGCTCTTGATACATTGACTACCGAATACGAGTTGTCTCGCAGCTGGCCTGTGAAAAAAAATAGTTCCATGCTATGCTAACTACGAGTTAGCTCGCGTAGACTTGCCAGTTTTGCTAAATAATAAATGTAATAATGTATTTTAAAAGAAAATGTTTTAGACAAAAATTTTAAGGTTTTAAAAAGCGCATTCAGTGGCATTATAAGCGTGTAGGGACTGTAACTTGCAGAATATGTTATTGACTTCACAACATTTCTGCATAGAATACGAGTCGAAAACGCTGAAACAGTCGAGGCTCTTCCCTCGCAAATTTCCGCCATCCTAATTTGTGATGTACGCTATTTAAGGTGCAAACGAGTCCGGTGGACGTTCAGAGAAAATTGGACCCAGACTCGGAAACTGTTGACCGACATTCAGAAGCCGCGCGCATGTTGTCAATTAAGAAGACATGCGAAGATGAGGAGAGAACAAATCTCTTGCCCACTAAGCAAGATCACTCTTAACATATGCAGAACGGCCGATGACACTCGGTGCTTCCGTCGGTGAGGTCTACTTTGAAAGCTTCATCGATCAACACAGAGCGGAACATACCGGCATGACATATTTTGCTACTGTGGCACTAGGTAGTACTTGACGAATTATTTTAGATATTTGTCGCGCGGAGAAGAGCGCGTGAGAACCATCGATAAAGGGTCCTGGTACTTCGTATTTTTTAGCGATTATTGGCTCAGAGGCTGTACCCGACCGCGACTGGTCTCCTTTTCCTCGTAAAGTCTCTTAAATCGCTTTGAAAATTATATTGAAAATTACCTCTTCAATAGTTCATGCAAGAGAGAAGACCTCCGATATGCAAAGTCCAACCAATTCTATATTGTAAATTTATATTACAGTGTAAGATATGTATGCATACATATATATATATATATATATATATA